CTCTTGAATGGAGGTAATAATAGCACCAGCCTCATAGCTATAGCTGTTGTAAGGATTACATGAGATAATGCACATGAAACATTTATCACAGTACCTGGCACCTGGTAAGCACTCAGCAGATTTTAACTATTAACATTAGTATCCCTCAGTTGTCATGAATTCATTATATCTCCTATTTAAATCCAGCTTCTAGAGTTAGAGTATACCTATGTCTTCTAAGTTATTTCAGAATTCCCTTCTCCCAAAAGTTAACTCAACCTCCATCCTTGCAACTAATCCATCCCCAGCACACCCCTTCACCTCCCCACCCCCTCACTAAGCCCCGCTTCCCTAGGGCAGGAAGCATTTTAAATCTAGCCCAGGCTGGGGGTGGTGGCTCACGCCTGTAATCCTAGCACTCTGGGAGGCCGAGGCGGGCGAGTAGTTTGAGCTCAGGAAGTTTGAGACCAGCCTGAACAAGGGCGAGACCCTGTCTCTACTAAAAAAAAAAAAAAAAAGAAATTAGCTGGACAACTAAAAATATATAGAAAAAATTAGCCAGGCATGGAGGCACATGCCTATAGTCCCAGCTACTCGGGAGGCTGAGGCAGGAGGATCGCCTGAGCCCAGGAGTTTGAAGTTGCTGTGAGCTAGGCTGACGCCATGGCACTCTAGCTGGGGCAACAGAGTGACACTCTGTCTCAAAAAAACCATAATAAAAAAAAATAATAATAAAAATCTAGCCCAGAGCCCAAAAGAACTTCTTAGCAGTGGCTCAGATGCCACCAGACTCAGGTTCTATGCCCTTTCTTGCCTGTTCGAGGCCACACCTTCAGCGAAGCCTTCAGTGGCAACTTTGAATACCAGAAAACCACCAAGCCACACTTAAATAATTTAAACTCCCCACCTCTGTGCCCGAGAGTTAGGCCTGAGGCAGAGTACCCTAAGGGGACCCCAGGCCTGCCCAAGAGCACCCAAGGAAGGCAAGCTCTAACAGCTGGGCGTGTGGGAGGAAGATTCAGCCGCCATCTTTGAAGCTTGCTCCCATCTGGCAAACTTCAGGACTCCTCCCCGGGGAAACGTTTCCTAGGTGGCACACCCCAAGATGACTGGCATCTGGAGTGTTCCTTGGGGGGCTCTTCTGCCAGCCAGAAGTGTCCACTCAGCCTCCATCACACGTGGGGTCTGTAGGTGCCAGTGAACACTGAACCAAGGAGGGGTTCTCAGAGCTGGAACTCTTGTGAAGGGAGGGAGGAGGACCCGCCACTGAGTGGGGGCCCTCTAGGTGCCAGATGCTGTACACCCCTACAGTAGTGTCTGTTTTTCTCGTCCCTGAAACCCCAGCGCCTAGCAGCATAGGTCCTCACTAAATATTTGTTATTGCAGTAATAGTAAAATGGCTGCCATTGACTGAATGCTTACTATATGCTTATTATTCTTCAAAGTGCCTTGTATCTCTTGACTCATATAATATTGGCCGGATGAGAAATTTGATGACAACCCTATGAGGCTGGACTCTGTCTTTCCTGTTTGACATGAGAGCAAACCGATGGCGACGCACAGGGAAAGGAAGGAGATGGTCGCAGGGCGGTCAGGCAGTAAATGGGCAACGGGCCCAGCCTTTGAATCCGGGGCAGTGTGGCCCCCGGGAAGCAGAAGGGTCTGGGTTTGGGTGAATGAGGTGGGCGAGCAGAGGGAGAAACGGAGGGGGCACAGAAGGAGGCACTTCTGAAGACAAAGGCATGAAGGCCAATGATCGCTGGGTGAGGGCCACCGATCAGTGGCGTCCCCCAGATCAAGCACCTCAGATGCCACCACACAGCCACAGCCACCCCCCCTAAGAAATGCTGACGTCCGTCCTCCAGGCCCACAACCCCTTCCCGCAGGGAAAGGCGGAAGTGAACCTCAACTTTTCCCCGTGGGAGGGAGGAGGATGGTGATCACAAGCTCCTATTTTCATGAGCGTCTGCTCGGATCCTGTCCCAGACGCCTAGAACCAGGGCAGTTTTGGGGTAGCAGGAGGCTGTGTGGTGAGTCACGGGTGACGCGCCCCTGCCCTGGAGCCTGGGCCTCCCTGGGCGGGCAGAAGCGCATCCCAAACCCCTCGGGCCCCTGCCTCGGTGCGGGGTACACCGCCCGCTCGGCCTCATTCCTAAGGTGAGATCTCCCCAGATCTCCCCGGCTCCCACCCCGGCGTTGGCTCGCTGAGGGAATGACAGAGCTGACCTGCCCTCCTAGGCAAGCTGTTTTGGGGGACTTGGCTTCTCAGATGAGACAGGGACCCCAACAAGACGAGGCCTGGCAGAGGTGCCCCAGAAAAGGAAACAGATGTGACCCTTCCACCCCCTAGCTCATCCCATGACATCACAAATGACCGAGTCTGTCCTGGCCGCCCAGCCCCACCATCCCAGCCACTCCTATGTCACTGTCAAAGTTACTTGACTCATTTGATTACTTGCTGTCGCCTCCCCTGCTGCCCTGGCAGCTCTTGTCTGTGTTCCGCACTGCCCGCCATGGGCGGCGCTGGCCGGGCCAGGTGCTGGCCAGGTGTGGGAGGGCCATGAGTAAGAAGGGCTGTTTATGGCCCCACGCGCGGCCCTGGTGCCTCAAGCCCCCAGCTGGGCCAGCGGGAAGTCCTGTCTTCTACATGGGTCCCTTCACCAAGCATCCCGGTGCTGCTCCGGGCTCTAGGCGGGGCTCTCTAGGGCGGGAAGGAGGAGCCGCAGCTGTGGCGAGGGTGGCAGCTCTCTGCCCGCCATCTGGGGGTCGCAGGTGCTGGGCACGGCCACTTCCCTCCTCGGCTGGCCCACCTGAGAGGCTTTTGCTGACCCCTTTTTCCGGCCTGCAGTGTCCCCTGCTGAGCTCTGTCAGAGGGGGGGAGATTGGGCCCCAAGCAAGCCCCCTCCTGCCGTTGCATCACGGCTCTCTGCATCCCAGAACGAGGACCACGTGAGGATGAAGAAGGGCTGAATCTGGGAGTTTCAAACACAGCCTCGGATTGTTTCTCATAAGCCCGCTTCTCGAACATCTCCAGGCCCAGCCCTCAAGCAGGCCCTCTCTGCCAGATGTCTTCCTCTCTCCTTCTGCATTTGGCTTCTGTCTGCCCCTGCCAAGCCTGTTAGGCTGGTTTGGACCTGTCTGAATCCCAGGTTCAGACACTCCTGTCCCAAGAAGCCCATGAGTTCCACGAAAATCAGGGTGTGTGGCTGGGCCTACTCCACAAGATGTCGTCCCTACCCACTCATATAGTCCATGTTCGGTAACTATTAGGGCACTGGTCTGTTCCTAGCCCACAGTACACATCTGAAGGCACCATGGTCTGATTACAAAACCCAAGAACTCTCTGCCCAGCAATCAAGGAACTGAGGGAAGAGAACCGACACTTTTCCAGTACCCATTATAAGCCAAGCATCCTGGGGGAGGGGCCTTCCAAATTTAAGATTTTAGAATCCCTTAACTCTTTTTTTTTTTTTTTTTTTTTTTTTGAGACAGAGTCTCACTTTGTTGCCTAGGCTAGAGTGAGTGCCGTGGCGTCAGCCTAGCTCACAGCAACCTCAGACTCCTGGGCTCAAGCGATCCTTCTGTCTCAGCCTCCCGAGTAGCTGGGACTACAGGCATGCGCCACCATGCCCGGCTAATTTTTTCTATATATATTAGTTGGCCAATTAGTTTCTTTCTATTTATAGTAGAGACGGGGTCTCGCTCTTGCTCAGGCTGGTTTTGAACTCCCGACCTCGAGCAATCCGCCCGCCTCGGCCTCCCAGAGAGCTAGGATTACAGGCGTGAGCCACCGCGCCCGGCCTAGAATCCCTTAACTCTTTAATAAACTTTTAGTGAACACCTACTTTGTGTCATGCTTTACTGCCTTTATCTCATTGAATTTTCCCAACATTCTTGTGAACTATTATGTCCATTTCAGAATCAGGGAGACTGAGGCTCAGAGAGGTTAAGGGACTTGGCCAGAGTCACACAGCTAGTAAATTACTCCAAAGTCTGTGCTTGTCTTACTCTGCCAAATCCTTCCCCGTTGTGGCCTTACAAGACACCACTCAAGGAAAACAAAGCATAAACCACGATATTCTACTCATCTAAATGAGGGGTGCAAACTCAAGTGCCTCCTGGACCCAGATAGATAATTTAAATGAGTGACGAGGTCTAGGTATAGCACAGCAGGGATGGGTGGAGAGTCTGGGTAAGTGGAGACATCACATTGCATCTAAAGGGCCCAGCTGAATGTTGGCACATGGGACCGTGGGTTGGTGTGGCCAGATCTTCTGATTTTTCAAGAAAATATGGAAATCTGAAACTTTAATATATTTCCAAACAGATAACATCCAGTGCTTGCTCTATTAGGCTGACAATTTGGCCTTCTGAACTAAAAGATGCTCCACAATCTTTGGAAAGATTCTATGTTTATAAACCAGCTGCTTTTGAGCTTTGTAATATGTTTATTTGTTTGTTTATTTATTTATTTATTTTGAGTCAGAGTCTTACTCTGCTGTCTGGGCTACAGTGCCGTGGTGTCAGCCTAGTTCACAGCAACCTCCAACTCCTGGGCTCAAGCGATCCCCCTGCCTCAGCCTCCCAAGTAGCTGGGACTACAGGCATGTGCCACCATGCCCAGCTAATTTTTTCTATATATTTTTAGTTGGCCAATTAACTTCTTTCTATTTTTTAGTAGAAACGGGGTCTCACTCTTGCTCAGGCTGGTTTCGAACTCCTGACCTTGAGCGATCCGCCCGCCTCGGCCTCCCAGAGTGCTAAGGATTACAGGCATGAGCCACCTCACCCAGCCTGTAACATGTTTAGATCCTGAAGATACCCCTTGTTCTGGGGAGGGAGGGTTGGGACCAGGAGACATAAGACCTACACAACAAAAAGGCTTAACGTACTTAAGGAAACACACGTGGTTGTATCAGTATATCATGGCACCACTCGAAGGTCTGATCTTATTAGGATCTTCAGTTGCCAACAACAGAATCTAATTCTAGGTAACTTAGGCAGAATGGAATTTGTTAGAAGGATATCTGGAAGGTTAGAGAATTGGCAAGAGAAATGGGATCAGAAAATTGGCAGAAACCAAGGAGAGCTGGGTGGCTGGGACCAGAGCTAAGGATTTTGCCACAAACAGCCTGCTGCCATTGCTGAACACGGTAGGCCACTTGAATTCTAGACTGTTCCTCCTCCTAGGTCCCTCACCCTGTGTTTCAAGAGATTCCACCTAACCTGTTCAGCTTGGTGAGGATGAGGCTCTAATATTTTTATCCACAAGGTGGATTCCCCCAAACACAGGGATGAGGTTCAGATACTGGGAGGCCCCACACACACACACACACACACACACACACACACACACACACACACACACACACACACTACACAGTTCGATTCATGGTCTGGCCTGGAATAGATCTTAAAGAGTTTCTTGTCCTTCATTTTCAGAATGAAGAAACTGAGGCTCAAAGCAGGCCAATGACTTGCCCAATGTCATGCAGAGAGCTGTGGTCAAGACACATGTTGAACCCAAACTTCCTGAGTTGTAAAGTGCTCCTGGGCCTATGAGAAGGGACAGAGTGAGGTGTGGCAGCCAGGAGGGCATCTTGGTGGAGGTGGGGGAAGGGAGATGGATAATTATTAAAAGATGGCCAAAGCTGGGTGAAAGATGAAAATAAAACAAGTGATACTATGAAAATAATAATACGGAAACGCAGAGCCTCAGACCTGGCTCTAGATGGATTAAATCAGAATCTGCCTTTTAACAACACCCCCAGGTGAGTGGGGAACACTTTAAAGTTTGAGAGTCAAGGCACTAATCCATGGGAGAGACGGAATGCAAGAAAAGAAATTGTTGGCTTCAGAAGAGATAACGTTCTAGCTCATGAAATGGGAGGTGGGTCCATGGGGTCATGTTTGTTTTGTGATTCAGCGTTATGACTTATACATCAGGGTTTTGCTCAAATGTCAGCTCCTCGAGGAAGCTTTATACAGCCCCATTATTTAAAATTGCACCCCTGTCACCCACTCTACCCTCCTTCGCCTCTTTCCTGCTTGATTTTTTTCTCGAATGCTTGTTACTGTCTGACAGATGAAAAGTGTCCGTTTTTTTATTTGTATATTGCCCATCTCTTCCCTCTACAAGGTAAGCTCTAGGAAAGCGGTGATTAGGTAGGTCTGTCTTAGTCCATGGTGCATCCTCAATGTCGACAATAGAGCCTGGTACCCAGGAGGTCCTCAAAAAATGCTTTGTGGAATGAATATATGATATGGTATGTATTACATGATTATATAATAACATGGCTTTTATTTTACTTTATTTTTTGAGACAGACACTCGCTCTGTTGTCCAGGTTAGAGTGCCATGGCATCAGCCTAGCTCACAGCAACCTCAAACTCTTGGGCTCAAGTGAACCTCCTGCCTCAGCCTCCCGAGTAGCTGGGACTACAAGTATGTGGCACCATGCCCAGCTAATTTTTTTTTTCTATTTTTAGTTGCCCAGCTCATTTTTTTTTCTATTTTTAATAGAGACGGGGGTCTCACTCTTGCTCAGGATGGTCTCAAACCCCTGACCTTGAGCGATCCTCCTGCCTCGGCCTCCCAGAGTGCTAGGATTACAGGCATGACCCACTGTGCCCGGCCCTCTTCCTTTTTTTGACTGAGATATAATTCACCCTTTGCAAATGTACAATTCGGTGGATTTTAGTGCAGTCACCAACTTGTGCAACCAACATCACCATCTAATCCGAATCATTTTTATCATCCCCAAAGAAACCTTACACCTATTTGCAGTCGCTCCCCATGCTCTCAGCCCCCAGCCGTTGTCAGCATCTAATCTAATTTCTGTCTCTATGGAGATGCCTATTCTGGACACTTCGCACAAATGGAATCACACACTGTGTGGTCCTCTTGTGACTGGTTTCTTTCACTCGGCGTCATGTCTTCAAGGTTGATGCCCGTTGTGGCATGTGTCAGTCTGTGATTACGTTTTATGGCTCAGATTATTTCATGGCATGGCTAGCCCTCATTCTGTTTATCTGCTCATCCGTGGGTGGATGTTTGGTTGCTTCCACTTTGGGACTATTATGAGCAATGCTGCTATGATCTTCCGTGCACAAGTTTTCGTGAGAACACCATTACTGCTTGCCTGGGTGAGACCACCAACCTCCTCACCGGACTCCCAGCTACAGCCCTTAACCCATAAGGGTCCATCGTCCTCACAGCAGTCAGAGGACTCCTTTCAAAATGGAAGTCAGGTTATGTCACTCCCCGGCTGTAAACCTCCAGTGTGGGCTGTAGGCAGGAGGGCTCTCACACCTGTAGTCCCAGTTACCCGGGAGGCTGAGGCAGGAGGATCGCTTGAGCCAAGGAGTTTGAGGCTGCAGTGAGCTATGATTGCAACACCGCACTCCAGAGCAAGACCCTGTCTCTAAAACACAAAGACATAAGCAGGGCCGGGCGCGGTGGCTCACGCCTGTAATCCTAGCACTCTGGGAGGCCGAGGCGGGTGGATTGCTCGAGGTCAGGAGTTCAAAACCAGCCTGAGCAAGAGCAAGACCCCGTCTCTACTATAAATAGAAAGAAATTAATTGGCCAACTGATATATATAGAAAAAATTAGCCGGGCATGGTGGTGCATGCCTGTAATCCCAGCTACTCGGGAGGCTGAGGCAGGAGGATCGCTTGAGCCCAGGAGTTTGAGGTTGCTGTGAGCTAGGCTGACACCACGGCACTCACTCTAGCCTGGGCAACAAAGCAAGACTCTGTCTCAAAAAAAAAAAAAAAAAGACACAAGCAAATAAAAACCTGCAGTACCTCCCCATTGTCCTGAGGATAATGTTGAAGACCCAGCACGGTCTCTAGCCTGACACCAGCCTCATTTCTGCACCCCTCGCTGCCTCTCAGCTCCCCAAATGAGCTACATTCCTTCCAACTCCGCTGCCTCTGCAATGCTGTTCCCTGCTAACTCCTCTTGCTTCTTAAGGCCTTCCCTAATCTTCCCACTAGGAGGCACTGGGGGGGTGGGACGCTTGGGTTAGAAATGCAGAGGGAGGGGTTCATCTTTTTTGTCTCCCAGGCTATAGGGCAGTGGCATCATCATAGCTCGATGCAACCTCAAACTCCTGGGCTCAAGGGATCCTCCTGCCTTGGCCTCCTGAGTAGCTGGGACTACACGTGTGAGCCACGGTGCCCGGCAACGGGGTTTGTCTTGAAGCTGCGTTTTGCTAGCTGTGGAAGACGCTGTCAGTGCCCCGCCCAGATCCCTTAGCCAGGTGTTTCTATGTCCCACTGCTGCGAGTGTTGACAGCTCCCTTCCCCAGAAACTGTCCCCTTCCAAGGGGCCCTGCCTCACCTAGGAGGTTAGGACACCCCCTTCTACTCCTCCCCCACCCAGCAGACTCCAGAGCACCCCTCCCTCCCGGGGGTGGGGTGGATCAGGCCAGGGCCAGACTTGCCCTGCGACAGAATCCTTGCTGGCCCCGCCCCCCACCCTGTCCGGCTTCCCTCTCACCCCTGAAGAATCCCGTGCTTCTGTCGCAGACTCCACCCCTGGGGGACTCAGCCTCGGAGGATGACATTTTCCATGAGATGGAAAAACTGCCCTTGTCAATATCCAACCCTTCCCGCCCCTACTCCTGTGATGGCAATGACGGGGAGGGGGAAAGCCCCTCCCAAGCCCTCTTTGTGTGTGTGACTGTTTGTTGATTACCTCTCCCCGACTGGATCTGAAGTTCTCCAAGGGCAGGAAGCTCATCTGTCTCAGTTACTCCCTTACCTGGCCCTTTGACGGGGGCTAATAAATAGTTGGTGACAGATATTCCTCGCCACGCTGTTTATAATACCAGGAAATTGCAAACGACCTAAACGTCCACCAAAGGGAAATGATTCAATCAATCACGGTGTGGCTCCACAGTGGAATACTACACACTCATTAAAAATGAACAAAGTACGTGGACTGAGAAAGAACAATCTCCAAAGCGTGTAGCTAAGTGAAAAAACCCTATGTGCTGAACAGTATATATAGTATGCATTCTTTGGGTTTAAAATGTGTGCATTTTCAAAGAGCACAGCTCAAGAACATTTACAAGAATGCAAAAATATCAGCACCCAATGAGCTAAAACTCACAATTCCACATCCAGTCAAAAAACAAGGCACACGCATATATATTTTAGCGTGCTTATCTGTAGAAGAGCAGCTATCTCTGCAGAGGGAGTCTGAATGTCTAGATGTGGTGAGAAGGGAACTTTTCACTCTACAGCTTTTTGTCCTTTGAATTTTGTACTATGTTCACAGCTTATCTGTTCAAAGAATACGTAGTCTTTAAGAAATTTTTGAATGAATGAATGAGTGAATGGGGCTCAAAAATGAAGCCCTATTTATGGCATCTAAGAGCCAGTGGTCAGCTGGGCTTGATCACCCGGAAGGCTGGATTTCACAGATTCACACGCAGCCAGCATCTCTGGGCTCTGCTTCCCTGATGTCTTACAGCTGAGGCCAGAGAAGAGTGACAAATCTCAACGCATCTCCCAGTCACCAGCCAACAAGGTGGGAACCCTCATGGGACAGCAGAAAGAGTGCGGGACTTAGTTGGCTATCTGTATTTCTCAAGCCTAAAAAACAAAAACAAATCATGCAAACCCTTTGACCCCAAAATTGCATTGCCAGGAATTTTTCCTAAAGAAACAATGAAGAATTATAGATAGAGCTTTAGCTATAAGAACATTCACAGAAGAATTGTTTACGACAGCGGGGAGAAAATGGAAACAACCCTCAGGAATAGGAGACTGACCAAATGATTTAGGCTGCATTCAAGCAAAAACATGATACACGTTTCTTATGCAGTTTTTAAAAGTTGTTTAAAGAAAGAAAGAAAAGAGCAAATGAGAGGCATGTCTAGCATCAGAGCTTGATTCAAATCCCTGCTGTACTACTTAGGAGCGGTGTGACCTCCATTTGCTTAATTTACCTCTCTGAGCCTCTGTTTTCTCAATCTGTAAAATGGGCACAATACCAAGTACCATGTGGTGATCAAGACTGGCTCATTTATTGTAACAATGACGAGAATCTCACTGGTTGCATACAATGAAAGTTGATTTCTCTCTCACCAGAGTCTGATGCAGGTATTCCTGGTCAAATAGACATCCTGTGAAAACTTCTTCCAACGGATGCACTCAGGGATTGGGCACTTTGCATCCTAAGTCTCCACTGTCTTAAACTCCTTTGCTCCCTTCCACACGGACAGGACAGAGAGCATGAAAGATCAGACCAGATGCTTCACGGCCAGGCCTGCTGAAGGGGGACACCCGTTCTGCCCATCAGGGGCACGAGTCATGCGGCCCTCTCTAGGAGCCTGGGGGCTGGGAAATGTAGTCCAGCCAGTGTCCAGGGAGAGGAAATGGGTTTGGGGAGCCCCTGGCTTTGTCTCTGGTGCACGCCTCATGGGGGCTCCTCTGAATGAGTGAAATCATTTAAATGAAGTGGCACATGGGAAGTGCTCAAATGTGTCAGCTGCTTTCTCCTCCCTCCCTTTCCTTTATGACTGATGCCAGGTGGGACCACCCTGACTCTTCAAAAATCCATGTCCTGCCGAAGCTCTGTGTGCGTTGACTCAAGAGGTGTATATTTGGGGGAGGACAAGGGTGTCCATTCAAAGGAGCCCTGGACGAGAGATCTAGCACTTTCTAGCACGTCACCCTCATCCCACCCAAATAACTCTCCAAAGAGGTGTAAATCTGATCACATTACTCTCCCACTCTAGAGCCTTCAGTGGCTCCCCATTGCCTTGAGGGTCAAGTCTTAACTTGTCACCACTGCAGGGTCTGGCCCCAGCTCGTCTCCACAGTTTCCCGCCTCGCCATCCCCTCGTGGCTTTCTGCATGATGTCCACACCTCTTCAGTTTCTAGAATGTGCCTCACTCCTGCCTGGCCCTGGCTTTTCCACACTGTCTTCTACTCCACAACCCCTTTTGCTCCCCAGAACTTCCTCAGAGAAGTCTCTCTTCCTGACATCCCCCCAATCTGAGTTCCACTGCTTACCTTCACAAAACTCTCTCTGCTTTTCCTACGTGGTGAGGATCGAATTTTGTAATTTAATATCTGCCTCTCCCACAAGATGATACACTTGGGAGGGCAGGGGTAGGTGTCTATTGTGTTTTCCACTGTATGTGTCCAGTGCTTTATTTTCCTCATCTGTGAAATAGGGATAACCATTATACCTTGAATGATTGTGTCTCCCCCAAATTCACATGTTGAAGCTCTAACCCCCCTATGTATGGTATTTGGAAATGGGGCTTTTATGGAAATATTAATAATTAAGGTTAAATGAGGTCATAAGGGTGGGGCCCTGATCCAATAGGATTAGTGTCCTTGTAAGAAGAGACAAAGGCTGGGCGTGGAGGCTCACGCCTGTAATCCTGATGCTTTGGGAGGCCGAGGCTGGAGGATCATTTGAGCCAGGGAGTTTGAGGCTGAGGTGAGCTGAGATTGTGGCACTACGCTCCAGCCTGGGCGACAGCACCTTGATCTTGGACTTCTCAGTCTCCAGAACTGTGAGAAATAAATCTCTCGGTCTATGGTATTTTGCTACGGCAGCCCAAGCTGACAAAAACATAACAGAACCCACCTTAAGTTATTGGTTGTTTTTTCTTTAAAAAAAAAAGAGGATTAATTGTTAATACCTGGAAAGCACTTAAAACCGTGTCTGGCTTGTAGCTGGCCCTATTCACTGTTGAGACTGTCACATAGCAGATGTGTTTGCACAATGAACAAACAAATCTATTTTGCAAGTTTAAGGTCTTACGTAATGGCTCTCATAAAGTGGATTTACCTATATTATTCTCCCAGGATACTTGGACACAGATGAACTCCTTAAAAAGAGAACTTATCAAAACAAAAATATCAACTTAACACGGGCAGGTGAGTAGAAGAGTGGTGTGTGTGTGCCCGTCTCCAACTCTTTTGTTCCTAGAATGTCCACCAGGGGGCTCCTTGCATTCTTTCCCTTTGCAAATCATCGTTGGTCCCCGGGAAGTGACCATTTCCAGAAGGATAGAAAGGTGGGTTTTCTCCATGGATTTACCCTACGACAGTAAACAAAGCCAATACAATCTAGGTGTGGCTGGGTGGGAAAAAAATCAAGCCGGGGTCAGAAGAAGTAACTTTGAGTCTTTGTTTCACTGGTCCTAGATTGGAGTCTAGGTGCTATCTCCGAGCCTCAGTTTTCTCATCTAGAAAATGGAAATAATCCTATATAGTGCAGCGTTATTGGGAGCACCGAATAAAAGCTACCCAGTGTTGTTGTTTAACACTCTGAATTTGCATGCGCTTAGATTGGACATCAATTCTTGTTGGCATAGTCTCTGCCACTACCTACCTATTGCATATGCCTGTCTCGCTTTGATGACTGTATTTCCCCTGGCTGAACCCGCAAGACTTCTGAGTTTGCAACTTCTGGTCTAAATAGAGAGCTCTCCTCTGTCCCAGTCAGATGATATCTGGGATGCTTCTATTTATTGAGCCAGGCACCAAGCTCTATGCGTGATATATAGAAGCCAAATATAACCAAGGCTTCTTGTTGCCTCGTCTCTGCATGGTGACTTATTTGGCAGAAAAATATAATTGGAAGTAATTAGAATCTTTTCTCAGTCTCTCAAAAAATGCCAGAGTGAGTACAGTTTTTTAAGCAGAGCGTTGTTGAGGTATAAATGATAAACCACACACATTTAAAACACACAACGTGATAAGTTCTGACATTAAGTATACACCTGTGAAACCATCGCCACTATCAAAATAATTCATATTCTCCTATCTACTAGAAGTTTCCTCATGGCTTTTCGTGATCTCTCCTTCCCCCTATTCCCAAGGAACCACTAATCTGCTTTCCGTCACTGCAGATAAGTTGGAATTTTCTAGAATTTTATGTAAATATAGTACCATACTGGAGTCATAAACTGTGCCCAGGGACTTTGTATTATTACAAACTTACCTTGGAACCATCATGCCCATAACTGAGTCCACATGTGTCAGGGACCAGCTGTAAAAATGGAAATTCTCTGGGTCACCTTCCAGGTGGACAACAATGTTTATTAAACCATAAGTTAGCAAAAAGTGCTAATTTTAAAATTTGTTACTTTTTTGTTGTATTTCATGTAATTTATATCTTTATATTTACACTATTATGTTATCATTTGTTTATTAAACCTGAAGAGTAGGCCGGGCGCGGTGGCTCACGCCTGTAATCCTAGTGCTCTGGGAGGCCGAGGTAGGAAGATTGCTTGAGCTCAGGAGTTCGAGACCAGCCTGAGCAAGAGTGAGACCCCCGTCTCTACCAAAAATAGAAAAAATTAGCCGGGCATGGTGGCGCATGCCTGTAGTCCCAGCCACTCGGGAGGCTGAGGCAGGAGGATCGCTTGAGCCCAGGAGTTTGAGGTTGCTGTGAGCTAGGCTGACGCCACGGCACTCACTCTAGCCTGGGCAACAGACTGAGACTCTGTCTCAAAAACAAAACACAACAAAACAAAAACTGAACAGTAACTGTAGCCAATGTTTACAACCTCAGGGCTCTAAATGTTTAGAATGCTCAGGGAAGAGCATTTCATTGCTGATATAGTTTAGAATGGCTGTAGCGCGGCCATAATAAAAGCAGACGAACTTTTAGTTGGCTTTATTACTGTTTTTTAGTTCCCTGCACTAAATGCTCCCCTGTTGCTGATGAGGACAGCCTGCACACCTGGCGTGGCTTACTAGGGTGCCACCAGACAGGGGGCCGTGGATAGCTGTGCAGCCTCCATGTCTCTGAACCCCAGTTTCCTCGTGGCTAACATGGGGGTTAAATAACATCTCTTTTAAAGGGTAGTTGTGAGATCAAGCGACTTAAGGTGTATGCAGACACTTTCTTTTTCTGTCCCTTTTCTCTTTCCTCTGTGGGTTGTCGGGGAGATTCCGTCTCCAGCCAGACCAGGGACTGCTCCTGGGTCCACACTGTCCCTGAGATGTCATCGTCCACACAGCGAGCTGCAGCGCCCATGGAAGGGGGCACTCTTCCCCTCCCCGCGCTCCTACCGCCTCTCCTGCCGTCCTCCGGAATCATCCTCTTACCTGGACCTTGAGGGTGGTTTAGCAAGGCCTGGGGAAGGTGCTTCTCCAATTTGGGCACGAAGCAGAATCCTCTGGAGGGCTTATGACGGAAATCCAGCTCGCTGGACCCCACCCCCAGAGTTTCTGATTCAGCAGCTTAGAGGTAAGGCTAGAGGGGTTGCAGTTCTAACAGGTTCCCAGGTGAGGCTGATGTTGCTCGTCCTGGGCCCACACTTTGAGAATCACGGGCTTAAATCAAGTCTGGTAATTCCCTCCCCTTTTGCCCCTGGGATTGACTCAGGGCTGGGCCTGAGCCAGCGGACCACTGAGATGCAAGGAGGGGCTTGCTCTGGGCTGACATGTGTGAGCAGCTCCTCCCTCTCCTTCTTCCCAGAGGAGGTCAAGGTGTGCCTCAGTGAGTCATGGCAGCCACTTTGTGACCATGAGGGCAACCAGTCTTCAGTGAAGCTGTTGTGCTGAGAGGGAAGGTGGCAAGCACCTGGGATTCTAATGATACACATCATCAAGCCTCCCAAACTACAGGATTTTTTTTTCAATTCTGGGGAAACTTTAATTTTGATTTCCAGACCAATTGACTATAGGATATGAGAGAAAGCAAAGAACCAAGGGTAGAGCCAAGGTATTTGCCTAAACAAGGTGGAGGATGTTTGTCCTCAGCTCACCTGGAGAAGGCAGTGGATGGAAACAATTGAGCATTTTGATCAAGGTTAAAGAACGCCCATTTGTTGCTACTTTAACTTTGTTTCGAGAGCTGCATTTTTTTATCACAGTCTCAGCCTTTTCATTTTTCCCATTTCTCACTCATTTATAAAGCATCAAGGCCGAGCGCGGTGGCTCACGCCTGTAATCCTAGCACTCTGGGAGGCCGAGGCAGGTGGATTGCTCGAGGTCAGGAGTTTGAAACCAGCCTGAGCAAGAGCAAGACCCCATCTCTATTGAAAATAGAAATAAATTAATTGGCCAACTAATATATATAGAAAAATTTAGCCGGGCATGGTGGCACATGCCTGTAGTCCCAGCCACTCAGGAGGCTGAGGCAGGAGGATCGCTTGAGCCCAGGAGTTTAAGGTTGCTGTGGGCTAGGCTGATGCCACGGCACTCACTCTAGCCTGGGCAACAGAGTGAGACTCTGTCTCAAAAAAAAATAAAAATAAAAATAAAGCATCAAAAAGGCACGATGCAATAAAACAGGTGTGGATGTGCACTCACACTGCGGAGTGGAAGAAGATGCAAACGACTGAAACCAGTCTCTTGGCAGGAAGGTGACAGCCCTGTGGGGCTTGGGGACCAGAGGTCGCCAAGACCTTCCCTCCACTGCCTGTGTCTGCTCAGGGCGGAATTAGCGACAGTGACAGGATAGATAATCCCAGAGCTTGCCCAGTCATCTCAACCAACTTTCTGCTAACCAGAGCTGGTCACCAGGAGCCAGGCTGGCCCCTCTAAGTCACTTATTTCGTTCCACCTTCTTCACTCTGCAATGGAGAAAATACAAAGTACAAGGTGCCCCAGAGGGGGACAGTCTGAAGCAGGAGGGGGCACGGAGCCCTGATGACCTGCAAACTTATATCAGCTTCTGCATAATCACGCCACGGACTTTACCTGACCTTGGGGGTGTCTATCACGCTGCAATAAAACATCGCATCTGTGCCGATGGCTCCCGCCTAGCTGGGGCTCAGGAGCCAGGATGCGCGGGTGCCCTGGGCTCTGATGCCCGCCGGCACGGAGGCTGGCGCAGGAGGCTGTGGGGCTCTCCGCGGCGTCTGGCGCAGGAGCGGCGGCGGTGCTGCTGAGAAGCACAGACGTCGGGTGGAAGGAGAAGGCCACCAGGAACACGGCAACCGCCATCACACTAGACCTGCCTGGCCCGGACGGACTGACTCGTCCCCCAGTGAAACTCTAAGGTTGGGATCCAATGTGCAGACATCTCCGCACTTCAAAAAAAAAACCATCTTGCAAGTCATTTTGGAGACCCCTGGTGAGGAGCAGTCTTCAAATTTAGGGGCGTCCCATCCATTGCTGTGTCCCCAAGGGGACCATCCTCGCCGGATCACGTCACTGCACGTCGTATTTCCAGAGGCTACAAGCGCCCAAGCAGGGTGTTGGTAGAGCCTGGCTCCCTTCTAAATCCTGGAGGGGACAATCTCCCTCGCCCCCGGGTCTCCCCCAATCCTCGGCCAACCTTGGTCTGCAGCTGCGGCCCCAACGCCACGTGACAATCCCTCTGGGTGTCCAACTTTGGGATTTTTTTCCTTCCCCACTGACTTTTCACTTGGAAACCTCCTAAGCGACCCCTATTCTAAGCTTCGCGACGTCGGGGGCTGCAGGGAGGCAGGGTGTGATCGAGCCCCGGTAAATACTCTGGACACATCACGGCTGGGGGGAGGTGACTGTCCAGTGCTCCAGAGGCAGAAGACAACCGGAAGTCCTGCGCTTGAACGCGTTCCAGATCTTGCCCGCTACGTCCCTTCTTCGGCTGGATCCGATTTGTGGCCGTTCACCACCATAAAACTGTGCTCACAAGCACAGAGCACTCTCCTGAGTTCTGGGAGTTATTCTAAAGAATCATCGAGCCCCAGAGGGGAGCGGGAAGTCCCAGATCTTTGCCAGCTGGTCATAAAAGAGGGTGGCCTGGGGACCTCCAGGCTTGCAGCTGGCATGCGAAGTGAACGCAATCTTTGGGAGGCCCGTGCCCTTAACCTTGAGTTTGGCAAACTCATCTCGGAAGAGTATGGCCATCTGCCTCTGATAGTACATCCTCATTTCTTTGCAGTTTGGGGACAGGATTGAATTTCTACCTTGGGGGCTAGGAACATCATTTGATTCTTCTGAAATCAAATTGTTCCTGACCCAAGACTTCTGCGTGTTCGGGTAGGGTGGCATCCAAGCTGTCGTAACTCAGGGCTTACTGCTTCTAGTCTTGGGCAAAGGTTGTGGAATTCTTACACAGGCAAAAATGTTGGAGGGGGGCCCTCTGGCCTTTAGTCTACATGGGTCACTCTGATTTGCCTGCTGAAGCCGGTGGGGCCCCTGAAGGCTGGCAAGACCACTATTTTAGTTTTTTCTCTTTTTTCCTTCTTTTTTTTTTTTGAGACAGTCTTGCTCTGTTGCCCTGGGTAGAGTGCAATGGCGTCATCGTAGCTCACAGCAACCTCAAACTCCTGGGCTCAAGCAATCCTCCTGCCTCAGCCCCCTGAGTAGTTGGGACTACAGGTGCACACCACCATGCCCGACTAATTTTTACATTTTCTGTAGAGACAGGGTCTTGATTTTGCACAGGGTGGTCTCGAACTTGTTACCTCAAGCAATCCTCTCACCTCGGCCTCCCAAAGTGCTAGGATTACAGGCATGAGCCACCGCGCCCGGCCAAGACCACTATTTCTGTGCCAAAGCTTTGGTGCAGGAGTCTTTTGCAGACCGGCTACTCCATACCCAGGATCTAGCCTCCCGGAGTTTTGCCCGGGTCACCGAGGTCCTCAGGATCCCCAAACCACATGTCCAGTCTTGGGGCGTCTCCGAATTCCTGTGAAACTTCACCCACCTCTGTACCAACGGCACAGTCCTGAGCCCCTTCTTGTAAATCGCAAAGCACACAGTTCCCCAAGTCTGGGGACATCAAAAGCGTTTCTTCTCCGAGTCCCTGCTGACTCGCAGGGAGGAACAGGAGGACTTTGGTCTCACAGTTTGTTGACTCCTCTGGGGCAGAAAGGCGGAGTGATTTGGGGCTCTCCGAGGGGTTGGCTGGAACAGCAGGGATTTCCGCACCAGGCTGTGGCTGGCTGGCTTGCAATATATTTAAAATCAAACATGTCTCACAGCACAAAGATTAATTTCCTTCTGAAAACACTCCCGTCTCTCTTCTGCACGGGAAATCCATACTCCTCCTGGTTACAGCACTTTGATTTAATTTCATGAATCCTGACTTTATTATGCTAAGAGAACATTCTCCGCTCCCTGCTCAGGCTCCCATTACGAAGACTTTTCACATCAGTGGCTCACAGTGAAAAGGGCCATGCCCAAGTAGCTCCTGTGTGTGTGTGTGTCCCTGGCTACAGAAAGGGCAGAGGGCAATCTTGTCTGACCAGGCCACATTTATTATGTGCTTGGCACTGTGTCTGGTGTATAGTAAATGCTCAATAAATGGAGATAATTATCACTTGTAGCTAGTTATGTACCTAATATACCATCTTCCTTCCCCCCCCCCCTTAGTAACAGAATCTCAATCTTGTTGCCTGGAATAAAGACATTTCCTAGTCTTTCTTATACTTAGGTGGGGCCTTGTGTCTACATTTTTTCCCATGAACTATAGGTAAAAGTGTTATATGAGACTCCCAGGAGTCTTAGCATTGAGAGATGTTTGTCCTTTCTTCTACGGCTTCCTGCTGCCCAGTATTTGGGTACAAAGGCTGGAGCTCCAGCAGCCATTTTGGACCATGAGGCAACCTTGAGTTCAGAAGCCAACCACTGAAGATAGAGGTAAAAGCATTGGTGACATTGTGGTAGCCCCCACACCAGTCTTGGACTGTCTACTTCTGGAAGGAATCAACCCTTATACATTTATGTCACATCATTTTGGGTTTTCTGCTACAGTATATAGCTAAACCTAATACTTCACTAATACATTATTATTATTTTCAGGACCAACTGACACTGGAATGACATCCTTAATAATGTCAGGAATTTCCTCATCCTAGAAGTGATCAAACAGAGGCTTTTCACAGATGACGAGCAGAGAAATCATTTATTGATTCATTCTTCACACGTTGAGTGAGCACCTACTAAGTGTTAGGCATTGTTCTGGTCATGAAGAAAACAGAGAGTTCACAGAGCTGCCAGCGTGCCGGAGGAGACACATATATCATCGCAAATGTTAAAAAGCACCACGAGGGAGCAAACACGGTGCAGGGTTGGAGAACAACAGAAAGGAACCCGTTTAGATGTGTCAGGAAGGGCATTGTGCGAAGGTGGCATTTAAGTGGAGAAGTGGCTGTCTTGGTGTGTTGGGCTGCTGTGTAACAAAATCCCATAAACTGTGTGGCTTAGAGACAGCAAACGTTCATTTCTCCGAGGTCTGGAGGCGGGGATGTCCGGTGAGGGCCTGCTTCTCATACATGGCACCTTCTCTGCAGGTCCTGACCAGGTGGAAGAGGCCAACAGGTTCCCTTGGGCCTCTTTGATCCGAGCACTAATCTCACCTCCCAAAGACCCTGCCTCTTAGTACCACCACCTTGGGGATTAAGGTTCCTCATAGGAATCTCGGGGGGACACACACACTCCGGCCACAGGCTAGGGAAGGGATGAACAGGAGCTGCTGGTGGGAGGAAGGGCTTGAAGAGGGGTTTAAGCTGGAGGAAGAGCATGAGCAAAGGCCCTGGGGCCAGAAGGAGCTCCGCGTGTCAGAGAGGCTGCAGGCGAGCTGGTGGGCAGCGCAGCGGTGGAGAGTGGAAGGGGGTGATCATGGGATGGCAGGTCCTGTCACTCAGCCCCCTGTAGGGCAAAGGAAGGCAGCTGGACTTGACACGCAGGGAGTTCTAATGTGAGGTTTCCACTTCAGTGCAGTCTCAGAAGTTTCCATCTATATTAGACAAGACTCTGTGGGGTGCAAGTGGTTAGAAACCCATCGCAAAATAACCTCAGCAAAAAATGGGCATCGATGGAAAGAACCTTGAGGCAGCTCATAGCATTTGCCTTTTTCTTTCGAATGATCTGATTTGGAACAGGTAACCGCGTCTATATGGTCTGGCCTCCTCCGCAGAGTGGCTTTTCCCCTGTCTCCCCTGCTCTGTGCCCCTGGCGTCTCCAGTCGCCCTGCCTGGTGGTCGGGCCTGGCTAGCGGAGGGCTCAAGGGCAGGATTGGGGGGCCGGGTATTTATTGCCTCCCCACTGGGACCAGCCCCAGCCCCCACCCCGGATCTAGGGAGTCCCTTGGGTCCCTTCTTGATCACCTAATTGGAGAATACCAGCTGTCTCCTACAGGACCTGAGCAATTCACCCAGGTGTGAGAAGTGAACTAGCACGAGAGTGAACCCTTGGTCCGCCCTGTTCTTCAACCCCCCAGAAACAACCGGCGCCCCAGCTTTTTTGTGTCTACCTATCCAGAAATGCTATTGCAGGTTTTTGTCTTTTTCCTTTTGTTGATTACCAATAACTGGTGAGTCCAGAGTCTCCAGGCCAGACATGTGAATGGTCCCCCCAGAGACCGGGTTCAGCTTGATTTTCCTCTCGTCCCTGGGCATCCTCGCAAGAGCACTGTTCTCAGTGGGCGGAGTCCAGAAGCCATGGCATTCTGGGAGGGACGATGTCCCGCATGGAGGCATTGAATCATTGACACTTGGGCATCAGTAGGACATCTGCCAACCCCACGATGCGGTTTTGGCGAGAGCAAGGCATCAGCACTCCCCGGTCCCGGGGATTCAGATGTGTGTCGGCCAATTTGGGAAAATCCTTAAGGCTGGGAATGCCGGCTGCAGGCCACCTTGGGCAGGAGGGCCGCACTTGACCTTCAGCTGGTTTTGGCCCTGCTTAGCCGGGTGGTCTACCTTTTCCCAAAGAAACCAACGTGCAATTTTTCTGATTCTTGAAAGACTTCATAGTCTCGCTTCCATGAGGCTATTTCCTCCTGGGGGCTTCCAGCTAGGCTTGCTGAGTTCAAATCCCGACTTCGCCACTTCCTAGCTGGGAGACCTTGGGCACTATGTTTAACTTCTCTGTGCCTCAGTTTCTTCCTCTGTGAAATGGGGATAATACTAACAATAAAACCTACTTCATAGGGTTGCCGTGGGAATTTTAAATGAGCAAATAAACATAAAGCACTTGACATAGGGTTTGGCATGGAGCAAGTTGCTCCAAAATGTTAGCTATTTTTGTTAGGATGAAAATTAACATTTAATCAAATGCTTGCTGTGCATACACGCCTGCTTGCTATATATACACAACTGCATTTTATCTTGTGGAATTCTCACAACAACCCTGTGAGTTAGGCCCACATATCCTTATTTTACAGATGAGGAAACTGAGGCTCAAAGCGGATATGGGACTTGTTCAGAATCGCACCGCTAGTACACAGCGGAGTTTGCTCTGCAGCAGTGCCCCGAACTAGCCCTGGGACGGAAGTGCGAAGCCCCAGCTAGCTTATTTATTTGTGCACTTTGGTTTGCATCTTTGTATGGTCTCTCTGGGCTTTTGCAACCAGGCTGTTTTCACTTGTAAACATCTTGAGGGTAGGACCCACGTCTGAGACACCCAAGAGGCTGAGCTTCTGCAACTCGCTTTATACTGAGAAAATTGCTCGAGCTGTTTGTTCAAAGAAGAGATTCTCTAACACGTTGGCTGCGGGGTCTGACTCAGAAACAGTGAGGGGGGCCTTGGAATCTGAAAATTTTTTTTAAACCCCACGACGCTGGGCATTCTTAGGCTAAGGCTGGTTTGGAAACTTTTGCCGCATAGAACTGGAGCGCCCTCTGCTGTCGAAGAAGAAGACGGCAATGAAGCAGACAGAGGCACTCCCAGGATGGGGCCGGTCCTTTAGATGGACCACAGCCAGGTGGGGACCCAGGGACAAACGCCTTCAGCAGGGAACAGAACTGTGGGGAGCTTGGCTCTTCTTGGCTGGGTACGGGGCTGGGTGATGGAGGAGGAGGTACCACCCAAACAAAAATAACTGGCTCTCTGAACAAAACAACACAAAGAAACAAACACAGGCGTACCAAGCATGATTTGTGGCATGTGTCTATTTGCATGGTGTGGATGCTCTTGCCAGGGCCGATTTGACATCTCCGAACACAGAGTGGGAAGCGATGCTCACGCTGGCTCTCGTGGGAGCGAGGAGGGGTCGGCTCCAACATAGTACTGGTTGACCAAAAGGACAGGGAGCAGGGGCAGGGGGAGTGGGTGGTGAGGAGTCCCGCTGGGCCAGAGAGGAGAACACAGAGGTCAGGCTGGTTGGAGTGGGGTCGAGCTCTTGATGGCCTTGAATGCCAGAATTGGGGCTTAAGGGTCAAAAGGAAAGGGTGACTCTCGCATGCAAGAGAAGAGAATTCAGCCTGGCCAAGGGGAGTGGGTCGTCGTGGTAATGATCTTTCAGCAGGGGGAGGTGTTTGCATTGCGGTGGGCACCAAGTTTTACGGACAGTATATCATTAATTCTCCTAGCAACTCAAAGAGGCAGATAGTATTTTCATCCCCTCTTTAGAGAAGGGGAAACTGAGGCACAGAGAAGTTAAGCAAGCTGCCCAAGGACACACAGCTGGTAAGTGGCAGAGCTAGGCTCAAACCCAGGCAGCCTTAACCCCCGTGTCCTGTTCCGTAGAAAACTTAGTCTCTTCACCTACATAATCAGCACGAAGGCGACAAGGCCAATGAGCATGGGGTTGGACTTATACTTATCCAGAACAACAACAACAATAAAAGTAATAGTAACAAATATTTCGTTGAGGGCTTCCTTTCTGGCGTCAGGGAGATCCGGGTTCCAACCCTAGCTCTGCCGTGCATTAAACCGACTGGGTTACATAAACTCTTTGAGCCTTGATCTTCTCATCTGCAAACTGGGGGTAAAAGTACCTAAATCATGAGGCCGTTGGATGGTAAATGAGAAAATGGATGAAAATTGTGCCTGTCAGCGACCGTCTAAAGGTTAAAGGGCCTGGCGGGGAGAGGGAGAACAGTCCCGGGTTTGGATGCAGGGAGGGACAACAGCTAGCCACGGATCAGCTGGAGGGCACCCCTCCTGCGCTGGCTCCCAAGGCCAAGGGCAAGCCTGTGCCTTTCCGGAATTTCAGCCTTGCAAGTAGGACAGAATCGCGAGCAAGCCCACAGCGGCCACGTGCCGAATTCCCACGGCGCCCCAGGAGGCGGTCGCCGGTTAGGGCCACCGTTTCCCAGCCTGCGCGCGCAGCTGCCCCAGGACGCGGCACAGCATTTTAGAGAATTTTCCGAGGCAGCGCAGCGACATCTGCCGGACGGCTTGCGAACTGCAACCTCAAGGCGCTCACCTTTTGACCGTCCCAGGGAGCCACGTTTCTTTTCCACGATGTCCCAGCTTTGTGAGTCTGAGTTTATGGCAGTTGTTGTGACGGAAAACAAGTGTCGTGCAAAAATTGCTGTGGCACAGGAAACGAGGGCGGTAGTGTCCTAATTCCCAGGCTTGAGCAGTTGTGTAGAACCCGCCTCACTATGTTTTCTTTCTTTCATTTTTTTTTTGAGACAGAGTCTCACTCTGTTGCCCAGGCTAGAGTGAGTGCCGTGGCGTCAGCCTAGCTCACAGCAACCTCAAACTCCTGGGCTCAAGCGATCCTTCTGCCTCAGCTTCACTTGTGGCTGGGACTACAGGCATGTGCCACCATGCCCAGCTAATTTTTTGCATATATACATATTAGTTGGCCAATTAATTTCTTTCTATTTATAGTAGAGACGGGGTCTTGCTCTTGCTCAGGCTGGTTTCGAACTCCTGACCTCAAGCAGTCTGCCCGCCTTGGCCTCCCGGAGTGCTAGGATTACAGGCGTGAGCCACCGCACCCGGCCTATGTTTTCTTTCAGCGTGTGTGCATTAGCTTTACAAGTGGCCACTGAGTTGTTAGGGCGGAAATACTCCCTAGTGGTTTTGTCCTAACTGTTGTCCTTCTAAACGTAACTGTTTTGTTTTTGTTTTTTTGCAGTGGACTCTTAAGAATGCAAACTGCCTCTCCCGACCTTGAGTTAATTCAGTTTTGTCCCCTGAGCGTGTTGAAGGGCAGGCTGGGGGCTGGAATGGCCGTTTCTGCTTGTGTGCCTCGCTGCCTAGACTCCCCGGAGGCTCCCCCCCCTCGCCGTTCCCTCCCCAGCGCAGACACCTTCAGCCCCAGCCACACCGCAGACACCTGGCTGCCTGAGGACTGGCAGTTCCTGAGTTCCAAAGGAGTGGTGGCAGGGGTTCAGGCCCCACCTTCCCTGCTCCCTCGGGCTCCCAGGTGAAAAGCCTGGTGGGGCGGCTACAGGCGGCGGGGCAGTGAGCAAGAGAACCTTGAAACCAGGAAGGAACAGCAAGGAACAGCAAGGAACAGCACGCGGCACCTTCCCCGCCTCTCAGCCCCGACCTGAGAATGCTGCCTCACCTCAAAGCACCGTGCACTGCGGTTTATGAAACAAGCGCTGGAGGAAAGGGGGTCCCGCTATCTTTTCGGGGTGCAGCCAGCTCATCAGGCACCGTCAGACTGCCTGGCTCAGGGGGACTTAAATCCCAGCTCCGAGGAGCTCTGAGCAGAATGGAAGTAATACCAGTTTCTATCTGACTCAGAGAGTTGTTCTGAGAATGAAGCACATTACTAAAGCCTAGTTCAGAGAGCCGGCCGCTGTGGCCTGTAGTCCCAGCTACTCGGGAGGCCGAGGCAGGAGGATCGCTTGAGCCCAGGAGTGTGAGACCAGCCTGGGCAATGTAGCGAGACCCCATCTCGGGGTGAAAAAGCAGTTTTGTGCAAAGCTCATTACACATGGCTAGTTGCAATGAAATTGAGCTATTCATTTAAGAAATATTTATTGAGCATGTACTATGTAATCTATGGATCAATGTACTAGACACTAGGAATACAGCAGGGAATGAGAAAAGATCCCTGCCCGGAGGGGCAGGGGCACAGGCTTACATTCTAGCAGAGAATGACAGCAATGATCATAATCCATACATAAGTGAATTATAGGGCAGTATTGTCCAATAGAAATATGACACGAGCCATGCATGTAATTTAAAATTTTTAAGTATCATCAAAAAAGTGAAAAGGAGCAAGTTTTTAAAAAAAAATTTGAAAAAATTTTAATTAAATCAAAATTATTTCAAACAAAACATATCAATATATTGATATTTTTAATTACATCTAATTTAAAATTATTCTAAATGTTAACTTTTTTTTTTTTTTTTTTTTGAGACAGAGTGCTAGAGTGAGTGCCGTGGCGTCAGCCTAGCTCACAGCAACCTCAAACTCCTGGGCTCAAGCGATCCTTCTGTCTCAGCCTCCCGAGTAGCTGGGACTACAGGCATGTGCCACCATGCCCAGCTAATTTTTTTATATATATATCAGTTGGCCAATTAATTTCTTTCTATTTATAGTAGAGACGGGGTCTCGCTCTTGCTCAGGCTGGTTTTGAACTCCTGACCTTGAGCAATCCGCCCGCCTCGGCCTCCCAGAGAGCTAGGATTACAGGCGTGAGCCACCGCGCCCGGCCTTAAATGTTAACTTTTAAATTGTTTTAATTTTAAAATTTAACAGTGTATATCAAAAATACTATCATGTCTAAAATTGGCATTGGCCGTGTTTCAAGTGTTCAGTAGCCACACGTGGCTGGTGGCTACTGTATCAGACGGCGCTGTTGTTGAGTATATCAGATGATAAATTCTGTGCAAAAATGCAAAAGTCACTTGGGGTGAGAGGCGACCAGAGCACTGGGTATGGGAAAAGTCAGGACCAAGATGTCGGATTTGAGCTGACTCGGGGCAAACGGCTTGCTGATTGTTATTTTGAGACGGGGTCTTGCTTTGTGGCCCAGGCTGGGGGGCGGTGGCGTCACCGTAGCTCACCACAGCCTCGAACTACTGGGCTCAAGTGATCCTCCTGCCTCAGCCTCCCGAGCGGCTGGCAGTGATTACCATTATTAACTGGCCCCTTTCTTCCGGGCTGGCCCGGCCTGGCCAATGGCTCCTTCCCTTTCTCCGTTCCAGCGTGACCCTGGCTTTGGGGACCCCCGAACACCACAGGCGCTCTGGAGCTGCACCAGCCTGGGTGGGGCACAGCCCTCCACACGCCCCCTCCAGGAACTGGCACGTGCCCCTCGTGCTGCCAGCCCGGGCCGCCCCAGGGGGCAAACTGGACACGTGTCATCCAGGCTCTTGGCTGGAAGAGGAAAGAGGTAGGAGGGTGTGTGGGGGACGAGTTTTTCCCCGGGCTGGGCTCAGGGTAAGTTGAGTGAGGGTGGGGCCCTGTCTTCGTTTTAAAAAGTTTGACATTTTCTTCATCTCAGATTTTTTTACATTAATTAAAAAATCGTATTGATTTACACAGTGTGAAATTCACCCTTCTAAAAATCTAACAATTCAGCGGCTTATAGTATATTCACAGTTATGCAACATCAACAGGATCGATTGTCGAACATTTTCATCATCCCAAAGGAAACCCTGCAAAACCCACGAAACAGCCACTTGGCATTCCCTGCTCCTGTCCATCCCCAGGTGACAACTAATCTACCTCCTGTCACTGTGGATTTGCCTTCTTTGGACACTCCATATGAACGGAATCATACACTATGTGGCCTTTGTGTGTGGCTTCGCTTAGCTTAATGTCGTCAAGCTCCAACCATGCCATGGCATGTATCATAACTTCATTGCTTTTTTTTTTTGCTTTTTATTTATTTTCTTTTCTTTTCTTTTTTTTATTTATGACATTAGGTTTCCACTTCTGTGTGACCATTGCTTTTTGTGAGCGAATAATATACCATCGCATGGATACGCCACATTGCAACTCTGCATTCATTGGTTGATGGACATTTATGTTCTTTCCACTGTTTTTTGGCTATTGCGAATAATGCATCCATGTATAAGTTTCTGTGTGGATGTATGTCTTTCATTCTTTTGGATTTTGCATGAATTTTTAAAATATATTGTATAGGCCAGGCACGGTGGCTCACGCCTGTAATCCTAGCACTCAGGGAGGCCGAGGCGGGAGGATCGCTCAAGGTCAGGAGTTCGAAACCAGCCTGAGCAAGAGTGAGACCCCGTCTCTACTAAAAAAATAGAAATAAATTAATTAGCCAACTAAAAATATATAGAAAAAATGAGCCGGGCATGGTGGCACATGCCTGCAGTCCCAGCTACTCGGGAGGCTGAGGCAGGAGGATGGCTTGAGCCCAGGAGTTTGAGGTTGCTGTGAGCTAGGCTGACGCCACGGCACTGTAGCCTGGGCAACAGAGTGAGACTCTGTCACTAAAATAAATAAATAAAATAAAATAAAATATATATTGTATAAAAATGTTCTTTATCTTGATGACTGGGGGGTTTTTGGCGCCGCCTTAAAATTCGCACCTGGGCCAGTGCCTCACTCACCCCTCAACCTAGCTCTGCCCTGCAAGTCTTGTGCCTTGCTGGCTGTGTGATGCTGGGCAAGTTGCTCAACCTCTCAGAGCCTCAATTTTCTCCTCTGTAAAATGGGGATGTAATCTCCGTGCCCACCTACTCACAGCTGTTAGCAGGACACAATGAAGGAAAGACACCCATTGTACAGTAGGTAGGTTCTCAGCAATTTTTTTCCTACAGGTGCTGGGCCTGGCTGTGGAGGGTCCCAAGATGGACGTGACCTAGCTCTGCCCTTGAGGAGAGCTGGCCCAGCTGCCTAGAGCTCCCTGCTGCTTCCGTTCCCAAATGAAACATGCATTTTTTTTTTTTTGCTTTCCTGCCTTGGGGGTGGGACACTGCCGCTTACCCCGTGGCCTCCCTGGCTTCCAGCACCTTCCATCCCGCTGCCCAGGGGCCCCCACCTGCGCCTCCCCCACCTTCCCCTCTGCCCACTCCCGCCGAAGGCCGCGGCTCCCCGGCCCTCCGCGCTGCCATGAGCCCTGCACCTCGCAGGGCTGAAGTCCAAAGTTCAGTCCCTGCGCTAAGCACACGGATAAATATGAACCTTGGAGAATTTCCCCGGCTCCAATGTAAACAGAGCAGGCAGGGGCCCTGATTCACTGGCTGCTGGGCCAGGGTTGGGGGTTGGGGGTGCCCACAGGGCTTGGCTCGTGGGGTTCGGGGGGACAGTGGCCGCGAGGAGCCTGGCCTGCGTCGGCCCGCGCGGCGCGGGAGGCGGCCGGCCTGGTGGCCCCGGGCCGCGTGGCCCGCGGTGGCGCAGCCATGGTCTCTAAGCTGAGCCAGCTGCAGACGGAGCTCCTGGCCGCGCTGCTCGAGTCGGGCCTGAGCAAGGAGGCGCTGCTGCGGGCGCTGGAGGAGCAGGGGCCCTACCTGCTGGCCCCCGACGGCCCGCTGGACAAGGGCGAGCCGGGCGGCGGCCGCGGGGAGCTGGCCGAGCTGCCCAACGGGCTCGGGGAGGCTCGGGGCTCCGAGGACGAGACAGACGACGATGGGGACGACTTCATGCCACCCATCCTCAAAGAGCTGGAGAACCTCAGCCCCGAGGAGGCGGCCCACCAGAAAGCGGTGGTGGAGACCCTTCTGCAGTAAGACCCCGTCCCCGTCCCCAGCCCCTGGAAGGGCCCGGCCCGCCTCTGCGTCCACAGTCCCCTGGACTGGTGGAGCGGTGGCCTTTAGCGGAGCCGTCGGGAAGGGGCACGGGGCCCACGAGAGCCCCGGGAGGGGTCCTTCCTTGCCTGGGGGTTGGCGTCCCCCCTGGCCCGACCCGCCCTCCTGCAGAGCATGGGTTTCCGAGCCTGGCCTCAGCCCAGCCCTTGGGACGGGAGACGTGGCCCTGTCCCCTGCCACGGGCCGGCAGGAGAACCCACAGTCCGAAGGCCTGGGGAACCAGGGGCTGGCTGGCGGAAGGTTCTAGCCACCACGACCATTTGCACCCGCAGACCCTAACTTGTACACCAAGTCCCCGGGCTGTGGGCTCCCCAGCCCAGAAAGCGCTCCTGGCGGGGACAGGGGCCAAGGCTGGGGCTTGGGGGGCTTCTCTGGCCAGCTGGGTACCCAGGTGTTCAGTTGGGGAAGCCCAGGTCTTTCTTACCTGAGGCAGGAGGAACCCCCGGGGTGGGAGTTGCTCCCCTTTCCTGGGCAGCCACAGGCGCCCCATGTCGCCAGCAGGTGCCATTAGAGGCCTCTCTGTTGCGCCCCCTCCGCCAGCCGGCTCCCCATCTCCTGGAGAACTGGGTGGGTCCCGAGCTCGATGCCTCCCCTCTCCTCAGCAGTGCTGACCTGGTTACTAATTACCCACACGCTTTATTATTTCTCTTTTGTTTTATAAATTTATAAATGGCAAAAGGCTCTGATAAGGCCTGTGATCATTAACTTGTAGGGATAGGTGGCCTGGAGAGGCCTGGGCCAACCCACCTCCCACCCAGTGGGGGTGGGGGATGGGGTGTGGGGGTGAGGGAAGGGTCGCCTGGGGTCTGCGGGGGCCACCCCTCCCCAAAGGCTCCATGACCCCCATCCTAACAGCTGCCTGCTCACGGAGGGCTACTGCCCACAGGGCGCTGTGCTAAGGTTTCACGGTGTCATTTCCCTTCATGTTGAGATGAACCCTACGAAGCAGCTGCTGATCATTCTGCTTTACAAATGGGGAAACTGAGGCTTACAGTGGGGAAGGGGCTTGGCTAAGGTCACACCAGCTGTTTGTGCTCTCCATTGCTACAACTGGGGGCCGGGGCCAGCTGGGGGTGGCTGAGAGCCACCCGCCCCCAGGCTCTCCGCAGGGGGCCATCCCTTTTCTGTCCAAGGTCCTGATCCCAGCATGGGGCGGGGGAGGGCTGGCGGGTCCCAGCCTTCCCAGAGGCCTCAGGGAGCCTCCCGAGGGCCCGTTCTGGGGGCAGGGGAGCAGCCAGGGCCCCCTGGCTTGGCAGGGAGAGTAGGGCAAAGGGCTGCAGGGCCGCAGGGGAGGGGCAAAGAGTCAGGCCTCCGGGACCCAGGGCGAGGGCAAGCAGACGGGGTGGGGCCCGGCCTGACATACCCAGGGCCCCAGATGGGACTGGGGGCTCTGGGGTGAGGGTGTGGGGCAGGGGGTGCCAAGGGCTTTTCTTACCTGGCAGGGGGGGTCTCTTGGTTGGCAGCCCCTTTGGCGGGGTGGCAGGGTGGGGGAGCTGGATCCGCAGGCTTGGAGGGGGATGCGGAGGTCAAAGTACTCCCTGGGGACCAGCAGAGACCTGGAGGCTGAGGGAGAGACAGGAGACGGGGAGGGAGAGACAGGAGATGGGGAGGGAGGGAGAGAGATGGGGAGAGACGCCCCGCAGACCCAGGAGCAGAGGGGTCGGGAGGGTGGGGGGCTGGGACCCAGCTGGCGGAAGGGGCCGGGGAGAGAGTGAGGCGCCCCAAGCTGTGAGCGGGCTGGAGTGCTTCGCTCCTGCCTGGATTGGGTTTTCTTTAATGCTAACAGCATGCTATTTACTTTCCATTTAAATTTGAGATGTTGCTATAAATTATCAACCAGCTCCTTGTTCCTGCAGAGTTTATAACTAACTACCTGGGTTACTTATTGTTGAGGGAACAAAAGGGACCTGAAAACGCCCTGAGGGAAAAAAAGTGGGGCCTCTAGCCTCAGGGTTTGGGGGCAAGGAGCCTGGGGGAGAAAGGCGGGGGACCCCCGATGGAGGCCAAGGCCATGGGGGAAGTTGAGGCTGGAGGGGAAAAGGAAGCTTTCTCTGGAGAGGACAGTGTCTGGGAAGAGGCTGGGGTGGGTCCCGGGTCCCAGGCCCCACTGGGGTGCCCCGTGTTTGGGGCCACAGCAGGATCCTGAGCTCTTGCCTCAAATCTCCACCCTTAGTTCACTGTGTGACCTTGGGTGAATGTCTTCCTCTCCTTCTGCCTCAGTTTCCCTACCTGGACAAGGAATAAAATCAGTTGCCTTTCTTCCACCCCACCAACTTCCCTGACCTCACGCTGACTTTGCTATCTCTTGACGCACCGAGCAGACTCCCACCACAGGGCCTTTGCACATGCTGCAAAGCCTCTTCCCAGATCTTCCCAGGGCCGATTCCTTCTGCTTCAGTTCCCCGATGGCCTTCTCCAAGGTGGGCCCCACCCCTAGTCACGCGTCCTTCTACTACTTTCATTTACCTTTTCCTGTCCCTTGTCATTACTTTTATCTCATTCATCTGTTTGTTTTCTATCTCCTGCCATAAAAGTAGCAGCTCTTCAAGGCCTGCGTCCTGCCTTGCCTTACTCGACACTTGTCCCCCCCCCCATCCAGCCCAGGGCAGACACAGCAGGAATGAACAAGCAACTCTCATTCTCTGGGGCTCTGAGGATACCTGCTGTCCCTTGGCCAGGACCCAGCAGACTGAGGCCCGGGGAGGAACTGGGACCCAGGGCTCCTTCCTGGATGTCCTCCCAGGTACTCTCTGTCCCCAAATAGCTCAAACCCTAGCCTTGAAGCTCTCAGGTCTTCCCAATCAGGTGGCACCAGGGCACTGAGACCCAGGAGGACAGCAGCCAAGTAGGACAAAGGGTCTGTCACCCCTGCCTGAAGCCAGCCTGCCTGCATCCGAAACCCAGCTCTGCCCCTTTCTAGCTCAGGAAGGAGATTTCATTTTTCTGAGCCTCACTTTCCCCTGCAAGGCAGAGATGGTAACACCCACATGATACTTTTGGCACGCACACATAGGAAGTGCAATGCATGGCAGCTATTAGTAGTGGTCCCATTTTACAGATGAGCAAATTAAGGCTCAGAGAGGCAGTGACTTACCCAAGGTAACTCTTCCACCGTTCTGTAGTAAGGCCAGGACTTGAACCTCAGTCCTCCTACCCCACACTCTGCACAGCGACCTTGAGGGGCAACCTTTACCTCCTGCCTTCCCCTCTCTGGTTGCTCTTGCTGTTTAACTTGACCAACTCACTTCCACGCAGTGTTTCCGAGCTCATGAAATGCACTAAACTCATTTTTCCTCCTTACGATCTCTGGAGTATGAAATATCATCAGTCCCATTTCACAGGTGAGGAAACTGAGGCACACGGAGGTTAAGCAACTACCCAAGGCCAGTTGGACAGTGCGTGGCATAGCTGGGATTCAGACTCGGATCTAAAGCCCCCCCCCCAGAGAAGTCAGCTCCCCCTCCAGATGAGTGGCGCTTCCAGCTGGCCACCCCGTTCCACAACCTGGGATATCCCGAAACCCTGGGCGCCAGAGAATGGAGGCCCAAGGCCTTGGCTGTCTGATCGCCCCTGCAATGGGGAGGAATGGGGAGGAGGGAGACGTGGGCGGACCTTCACCCACCCTGGGCTCTGCCGTGGGTCCAGGAGTCCCCATGACTATGTTGTTCACGATGACGGTGATGACACTATTGCTCCATTTATTGAGCACTTGCTATGTGCCAGGCCCTGCTCTAAGTACTCCCCCCTCTCTGCAGCTCCTTCAACTTCCCCAACAGCAGAGTGACGTGGGTGTGGATCTACCCCCCGCCACAGGGCAGCTGCAGATCACGAAAGACGACGCTGGGCTAAGTCACAGGGGTGGGATTTGAACCCGGGTTGGTTGACTCCCAAAGCCGTTAGAAACTCCCAAAGTAGGAGACGCCTGGAGATCGGTCTCTTAGTTCTGAGTTGGGAGAGTTGGGGCAGCTGTCCTGGCAAAAGGCAGGTCCTTAGACACAGAGTGTGTGTGACACCCAGACAGACGGACACAGTGAGTGAGAGAGGGAGATTCAGTAGGTTCTAGAAAAAAGTGGCACAGGCACCTTCCCCTCCAAAAGGGAAAGCCAGCCCCTCTCAGCTCTCTGTCTCCCGACTAGCATTTTAAATTCACTTTTTTTGTCGTGTCCAACTCTACCAGGAATTGTTTAAAAACGGAGAGTTCACACGAGCTTGCCTTAACCCGTTTGCTGTCCATTTTCACGTTCAAATTCCTGCCCGTTTCTGTGTGCTGCACGTGCACGTGCAAAGGGTGGCTGGCCTTTGTTTTATTTTCAAGTTCACTTTAAATTTGACCTGGGGGTGGGGAGAACTGGGAGGAAGGGGGGCAAGGGGGAGAGGCAGGGAATCAGGTGGGTAGCGGCAGATGCCAGATCTTCAGCTTGAGCCCAGGAGGGGCCCTGTCCAGAGGAAGGCTGACCGTTCTCCGGGGGAGAGAGGAGGGTGATGGCCGCAGGTGGGGGAGGGCAGGCCAGCGGGCAGCCCAGGTCTGGGATCAGATAAACATGTTTGCCGCTGAAGCACAAGGCTGGACTTTGTACTGCCCTGCCCTGCCCTGCCTTGCCCTCCCAACCCTGCCTTGCAGCCAGGGAAGTGAGGACAGTGGAGAAGAGTGAATCCAAGGAACTCCTGAGAGCAGGTGGAGAAAGAGAGCCAGGGAGAGGTCCTTTCCGAGTCTCAGTTTTCTCATCTGTGAAATGGGCACACAAGTAGTACCTACTTCCCCGGGGATATTGTAAGATCTGAATGGCCAGCACTCAGTACAGCTCCTGGCTTCCAGCGAAGCCTCGAGAAACAGGAACGCTCGGGTCTTTACTCAGATGGGACTTTGCCATCTCTGGTGCTGACGGGTTTCACTTTATCTGGCCCTACCTTCTTTGCACCCCCGCCATTCCATGCACTGATAAAACAGGAGGGGGTCAGAGGGCCCGGGCTGATGGAGGGCGCTGTGCCCTCCCATCGGAGAAGGGGGCTGCCGGGGTGGGGCGTGGAGGGGCAAAGCAGGGCTGGTTCTCTGGGGAAGGCAGCGTGGGTGGGCTTCAGAGTGCAGGGGGCTGATCTGAGCCATTTGCGATTCCATTTTAAATGTTATATAAGCATATATAGTATATTATATCACATGTCACATACTTTAAAAGGGACACAAGGACAACAGAGCAAGCTGCGCCCTTCGCCCTACCCCCAGCAGCCCATGCCCCTCGGGAGGCGACCCGCGTCGCCAGTCCCTGTTTTCAGATTTAATGTTTTTCTTTTTCCAGTAGGTCTCCCTCAACCATTCATCTATCCACCCATCCATCCACCCACCTACATATCCATCTACCCTAATGCCCATCTATCCATCCATTTACCCTCCCATCCATCTATCCACCCACCTACATATCCATCCACCCACCTCCATATCCATTTACCCTAATGCCCATCTATCCATCTGTCCATCCACCTATATATCCATCCATCCACCTATATATCCATCCACCCTAATGCCCATCTATCCATCTATCTGTCCATCCATCTATCCACCCATCCATCCACCCACCTCCATATCCATCCACCCTAATGCCCATCTATCTATCCAGCCCCCTACCATCCATCCATCAGTCCACCCACCTACCTACATATCCATCTACCCTATCATCCATCCATCCACATATCCACCCTACTGCCCATCTGTCCATCCACCCACCTACCTACCTACATATCCATCCACACTGCCATCTGTCCATCCATCCATCCACATATCCATCCACCCTACTATCCATCCATGCGCTCATTCACTCCTTTATTCATCGATGGCATACTCTGCATCAGGCCCACTTTGGGTGCTGAGAATCTGACAGGTCCTGCACTCAAGGTGTTTGTGGTCTCTCATAGTGGATAAGACACAGGCACGAATAACATTTCCAGGTAGGATGAGGGGGGGGAGCGTTAAAGGAGGCGCAGAGGTGGGGACTCTCCCTATCTGGCTTGCGCAGCTTCTTGGGGGAGTCTGCCTGTGTCTACATCTGTGTCCAGATTTCCAAACCTTCACCTGTTCCCATGCCTGGCCATGGGCCTATGGCCACATGTCTCTCGTGTGTTTGTGTCTACAAGCCCCTGCCCCCACATCCCTGTGTCTCTGTCCCTGCATCCTGGCATGGATGGCCACACCTCCCTGTGTGACAGTCCGGGTGCAGGAGGCCCCTGGGCTCCATAACTGCTTTAAGCCACAACCCCCACCCCCAGGGATGACAAGCGTTCTGACGCCCAGGACCCCAGCCCCAGCTACAGGGGGACACCCGGGCAACCCCGTCCTCATCTGTGCCCTCCCCCCAGGGAGGACCCGTGGCGCGTGGCGAAAATGGTCAAGTCCTACCTGCAGCAGCACAACATCCCCCAGCGGGAGGTGGTCGACACCACCGGCCTCAACCAGTCCCACCTGTCCCAGCACCTCAACAAGGGCACCCCCATGAAGACGCAGAAGCGCGCCGCCCTGTACACCTGGTACGTCCGCAAGCAGCGAGAGGTGGCCCAGCGTAAGTAACCACCCCGCCCACGTCCCCCCGGCGGGCTCCAGGACTCTCCCCAAGTCCTAGGTGGGGCTGGAAGCTTCCCCGGCCCCACTATACAGACACAGCGGGAGGAAGTCACGGGGTTCAACCACGCTGGTTTCCTATTCTGTACCAGGCAGTCTTGGGGGGCAGTGGGGCTGGTCTCGGGCAACCGAAGACGGGGGAAGCTCTGGGGCCCTGGCTTCACAAGAGCTCACTGGTAAGTGCAAAAGCAGGAGAAAAGGTCATTGCGATCCAGTGAGACACGTATCATAATGTGATAACAGCAATAGCGACAACCATAATAGCTCGTGTTTGTCAGGTGTTCGTCTGCTCAGTGCAGAGTATGCACCAAGTATTTCAGCGTGTGGCGCTGACTGCAGAGGAGGGAATGATCTATTCTTCCACAGGGAGGCAGAGCGATCAGGGAGGCTCACCCCGGAAGCATAAACTTTAGGTTTTAAGTTTTTTTTTGTTTGTTTGTTTGTTTTTGAGACAGAGTCTCTCTGTTGCCCAGGCTAGAGTGAGTGCCGTGGCGTCAGCCTGGCTCACAGCAACCTTAAACTCCTGGGCTCAAGCGATCCTCCTGCCTCAGCCTCCCGAGTAGCTGGGACTACAGGCATGCGCCACCATGCCCGGCTAATTTTCTATATATATTAGCATTAATTTCTTTCTATTTATAGTAGAGACGGGGTCTCGCTCTTGCTCAGGCTGGTTTCGAACTCCTGACCTCGGGCAATCTGCCCGCCTCGGCCTCCCAGAGTGCTAGGATTACAGGAGTGAGCCACCGGGCCTGGCCTAGACTGGGTTTTAAAGCGTGAGTTGACTTTTGACTCACTGAGATGCAGGGAAGGGTGTTTCAGCAGAAGGAACAGCATGAGTCA